TCCCCTCCAATTCTTCCTCCCCTCCAATTCTTCCTCCTCTCCAACTCTTCCTCCCCTCCAATTCTTCCTCCCCTCCAATTCTTCCTCCTCTCCAATTCTTCCTTCTCTCTAAGCCCAGCTCTGAGCAGACCATGGAAACGCTTCTGAGCTTTCTGCCCGCTCCTGCCTGCCAGCTCAGCCCTGCTGTCCCCTCCTGCTCCTCAGGACCTGATGGGTGCTCTGCTCCAGCTCAGTCCTCCTGCAGATGAGGTCTGACTTCCCAATGGCTTTTTTTAGCACAGTGTGAGCTTTGCCTGACATTTCTCCTGAACTAAATAAGTCCCCAGCTCGGTTTACACTCGCTGGATCTCCCTGCCAAGGGTGGCACTTCTGACATTGCTTCAAGGAACGGGCACAGATCCAACCTCACCTTATCCCAGGGGATGAATACACAGCTGGAGCTACAGCTTTACCCCCTTGGAGGATCTCACCGTTTGGATTTTCAGAAAGCCACCAGGAATCTGCCCTGTTTCGCCTCTCTGGGATCTGCCTCTCAGCACTCAACTGTCACCAGTTGAAATCTGTCTGCTCTGCTGTGGTCTGAGTGTGTGAAATCAAACATCACAGCAGCTCCTACCTGCCATGGGGACAATGCAAGAGTTGACGTCTGACAGCTCAGAAACCTCAGAAACCCAGAACCGATGGCTCATTCAGGTAATTCCACACGAGCACCCCCTAAAGTGCAGTGCTGCTCTTTCCAGACGGTCTCGTTTCCATCACTTGTCAAAGGAGGTTGGTAGAAGCTGGGAGCTTGCCAGGTGTTTATTTTAAAATTATTTATATGGACCTTGTGAAAAGCAATAGTGCGGTTTTGGCCGGTGCTGCAGTGTTTATCAGCACATCCTGTTTAGCTGATTTTTTTTTTTTTCCTCAGCAATGGAAACATATTTGTTGGAATTTACCCAATCACAAACTTGGCTTTCACATAAAATCACCGCACTCTGCAGCCTGGCAAGCTGAGAATTTGGGAACAGCAATTCCCTGACTGACCACACCAGCATCTGTGGAAAACAAACATTCAGAGAATCACAGAATCGTGGCATGGTTTGGAAGGGAAAGGAGTTCAAAGCTTATCTTGTTCTGCCCCCTGCCATGGACAGGGACAACTTCCACTGTCCCAGGTTGCTCCAAGCCCTGTCCAGCCTGGCCTTGGACACTTTCAGGGATCCAGGGGCAGCCACAGCTTCCCTGGGCACCTGTGCCAGGGCACCACCACCCTCATTATCAGCTCTTCTGCAGATGCTCTTCTCTGCATGAATCTCCATCTAGGAAAGGCTTGACTGATCTGAGCAAAAGCCACAGTCCTTGTGAGAAAAGGAGAGGGAAAAGATGCAGCTGCTGTTCCTGCCTTTCCCCATGGCCATAAATTGCTCTGGTTTGGGGCAGGTTGTTACATGAGACCTTTAGAACCACGTAGGAAATTTAAAAATGCAAGTCATTGCACCTGCAGAAGATACCGCTGAATTTCTTCTTCCTTAAATAAGTACAGTTGCAGAGGATCTGAACCCTGTTTACTGGGGTGGTTTATCAGTTATCCTGCAGACAAGGGCTCAGGAAGTGGTTTTTTCTGCTGATAAACCAGAACTGCCTGGAGATTTTGCAGACAGTTATGCTGGGCCCGATGGAATTTCCCTACAGAGCTCTTTGCCCTCATTCTGAAGGTAAAACTTTGGTTTGTGCAGCATAAAGACTCTTCCTCCTCTTGGTTATGGCTTCCAAGAAATATTCATTACCATAATTACCTGGATTAGAGGGAGTTTGGATCCTGCAAGGCCACCTGGACTTCAGTGCCATCATTATGTGACAGATAATTGAGCAATCACATGGTTTTAACCCAAAAAAATAGCTCCAGCTTTGACTGCTGTTAAGGAGTTGGGTTTGTTGTGCAATGATCCCAAATAGAAAGAAGTTTCCATGCTTCTGTTTCCTTTCCAGTTTTTTCCCCAAATCCAAAATTAAGTGGCTGCTTTGTGGCTTTTTTGTGGTTTAGTCCATAGAACTGTAACTGGCTTTTTAGAGGTTTTCCACATCTATAAGGGGAGAAATCAAATAAGGAAAAAACCCTCCCATAAAACAAATTACAGCCTTTCAATGGGAACCAGAGGAAAACCATCTGCATTTCTAAGCTATTATTGAGATAGGTATGTAATTTATGAAAATGTATTATTTAGTATATAGAAAGCATTAATATAGTACATTGTATAGTATTGTTAATATAGCAATACTCATAATAGTGTATAATTATAACTTTTTTTTCTAAAATTACAGAAACCCAGGATATTGGATGGGAGGTGACCTTAAAATCCATTCAGCTCCACCCCCTTCTATAGGCAGGGTCACCTTCCACTATCCCAGGTTGTTCCAAGTCCCATCCAACCTGGCCTTGGACCTTCCAAGGGTGGGGCAGCCAATAAATAATAATGATATTGGATGGAGCAGCCAATAAATAACATCAAGATTTAGATTTCATGTCAAATTTCTTTTGCTGCCAAGTCAAGTGTTTGGGGTGTAGAAAAGCAGACATTCAACAAACGATCACATCAAGAAATTTATCTAAGTTTGGACTGTAGTTATACTCTGACAAGGAGAAAATAAATAATTGTATCCTGATTCAGTGATTCTTCCTATGGAGAATTTAAAGGACTATTTAAAGGAGAGTGAAATGTATATGTGGAGGTTAAATTACATAACGGTGTTGTTTACTCTAATATATCAGATAAGAGAAAGAGGAACAGAGAATGACAAGCATTTAAAAATTCTTCCCTTTTATTTCTGGTTTTGGGCCTCAAGCTGATAAAAATTTTTTTTCCTGCAACAGAAAGGAGCAGGAGGCACATGGAAAAAGTCAGAACAGGGTGTTCTGTGAGAAATAACTTCTAATTACCTACATTTTCTGGCCACTGAAATATCATTGCTCATTAGTGCCTCTCTCTGCTGTTACAGAGCTTCAATTGCACCACGTCGTTAACGATTTCCTCTGCCCCCAGTACAGACACACACGTTCCTCCTGTCCAAAAGAGAGGCTGATTCTGTTCCAAAGAAATCGATTTTTAATTCAAACCAGCAGCTTTTCCTAACAGAGCTGCCTGGTAGCTGTGGCTCAGCCCATCCCTGTGTCCCACGACAGACGTTCCCTCCCGTGGGCGCTTGGAACTGGGGATGGGTAACGAGCTGAAAACACACACCAGGGCTCTCTGCAGGAACACAAATATTTCCCCCTGACAACAGAAAGAGAAAGGAGATCTTGAAATGCTGGTGCCCAAACCCTTGGAAGCTCGCCCTGGATTTTATTCAGAGCAGCTTGAAGCCCTGGAGCTGGAGGAGTCTGAGCAGCTTTTCCAGTGGGAGATCCAGGGTTTACCAGTGCTGGCTGCAAGGATTTGCCCATCATAACCATTGCTCTTTGTCAGAGTCATTTACTTCCTAATTGCTGGGGTTTTAGCAGAAACTAAAAAGGAGAAAATGTATCTTCCCCTCTAAACAAGCAGAGCCTCTGAGAAGTATTTTCCATGCAGCTGATGCTAAAAATAATCATTGGTTCTCTTTGCTGAAAACTTCTCCTTCATCCCCTGCAGCTCAGAATCCCTTGACAGACAGATTGCAGCAGCCTTTTTGGAGGGGATAAATGAAAATTTTGAGGGAGAGGGACCTTGGGAGGAAAATGAAGTCTTTGTTTTACCTGTGGTGGTTTTGATTTCTTTGCCCAGTTTAATTTCTTTACAAAAGTTCTGTTCCCAAGGGGGTCTTTGTAGTGGTGAGTTCCCCTGGAGGAGCTGCCACAAGCTGGCACATGAAATTCCTTTTCCTTACGTGCACAGGGAATTGAGTGCATTGTTTGTGTTCATTCTGGAGATTTATGCTAAAGCCTTTGCTCTCATTTTCCTGGGGGAGAATCACCAGCACAATCTGGTGAGATCCAAGGTTATAATTTGTTAATTTACAGCTTCCAGCAAAAAGAGCTACTGGTGTTGGAACATCAGCCTCAGGGAACCAACTCAGCCTGGAAGTATCTCCTGGAACTCTGTCACCTCTCACCCACAGGTGATGCACCCTCAGTAGGGGCAGGACAAGTCATGGTGTGAGCTTGGACACATCCCAAACCATCCTGGGATTCCATAATCCCAAAGCCAATGTCCCACGTATTGTCTGTGACACTGGTGCAGCCTCCCCATGAAGGCTGCAAGGAGAAGGATGAGAATTTTCATGAGAACTGGAAGACAAACCCAAATGAACTCCATGGGGAATTCCCAAGACCGGAAAAACCCCTCCCGACAAATATGATCAACCCCGGTCATGTTCTTCATCACATTTTCTTCATGAGGCTCTGCTTCCCCTTTCACTTCATCTGGAAACAGCACCAAAGACTCCAGCAAAGAGAGAACTTGATTGCATTTAAAGATTAGGAGATTTTTAGATGAGCTATTGGGAGGAAATCCTTCCCTGTGAGGGTGGGGAGGCCCAGGGTGCCCAGAGCAGCTGTGGCTGCCCCATCCCTGGAGGTGTCCAAGGCCAGGTTGGACTCATTCTTGTCACAGGACTGTTTGGGTTGGAGGAGACCTTCAATCTCATCTCATTCCACTCCCCTGCCATGAGCAGGGACACCTTCCAGGTGTCCACCCAGACTAGGTTGCTCAAATCCCTGCCCAGCCTGGATTTGGAAGCAGTCAGGTGCCATGCAGGAGATTTGTGGAGTGTGTTACAAGCATGAACACAGGCTTAGGCCTGGGCCTAAGATATAAATCTGGTCAGAAAGAAAAATTAATTCTACATCATCAACAACTGACAGCAAGAAATCAACGGCAGCAGTTGTGCCTCAGGTCTGCTCTGGGTGCTCCTGGCTGGGGAAGGACTCCAAGGAAAATG